GGAGAGAGGGGGAGAGAGAGAGAGGGAGAGAGGGGGGAGAGAGAGAGGGAGAGAGGGGGGAGAGAGAGAGAGAGAGTATCCCATTTTAATCAATAATCTCAAATATCTTTTGAGCAGTGCATTTTAGGGAAAAATGTTTCAGATAAAAGTTTTGAGATTTCGAGGGGGACATAAGATGATATCATTAGTTTGACCTCGAGTGACATCATCAAGATCAGAACAAGGTCACTTTGAATTTTTTAAATGGAACCCCCCATTTTTCATTACATATTCTTATAGTATATCTCAAGAGCTTTTTAAAACACTTTTTCATTAAGTTTCTTTTTCATAATAAAACATTTTTCCATTAAGTATCTTTCGAGTTAAAAAGCTTCAAAGTTTCAATATTGTTGCCATTAGCATTGGTACCAAAGGTGTTCGACCGACGGCTAAAACCTTTTGAATATTGTTCAGGGCCATGATCTTGACAACATTTGTTAAGGTCAAGGCGATTGGAGGCTGTTCCTAATATTTTTATTTCTTCAAATTTTATAGTGAGAACGAAAATAATAATTTAAAATCATGGAGTAACATGTGGAGTCCAATTGACTCTAAAGGATCATGTGAAAGTCACAATGCTATGATTATTAAAGAAATTTATTAATGGGATTTTACACGTGTGCTTCTTTGTGGCCCCGACGAAGCATTGTGATCTTCATATGATCCTTTAGAGTCAATCGGACTGCACATGTTACCCTATGATATTAAATTATTATTTTCGTTTTCACTGTAAAATTTGAAGAAATGAAAATATTAGGAACAGCCTCCAATCTCCTTGACCTTGACAAATGTTGTCAAGGTCATAGCTCTGAACAACATTCAAAAGGTTTTAGTCGTCGATCGAACACCTTGGGTACCAATGCTAATGGCAACAATATTGTAACATTGAAACCTTTTAACTCGAAAGATAATAAAAAAGTATTTTATTATAGTGTTTTGGAAAGCTCTCGAGGTATGCTGTAAGAATATGTAATGAAAAATGGGGGGTTCCATTTAAAAAAATTTAAAGTGATCTTGATGACGCCACTCGAGGTCAAACTAATGATATTATCTTATATCCCCCTCGAAATCCCAAACTTTGATCTGAAACATTTTTCCCTAAAATGTACTGTTCAAGAGATATTTGAGGTGATCGATTAAAATGGGACACCTTGTGTATATATATGAAATAGAAGCAGCGCGATTGCGCTAGTTAACATTTTTCGCATATACCTGTGACACTCAAACAATTAAAATATAAATTTGCTTTTCCCTTTTTGCACCATCCCCTCTTTCTATTTTCTCCCTTCCCTTTCTGAACTAATCTTTTAAATACTGCTAATTAATATTCTTGCTCGCTGTATACCTGTGAAAGCTGTCAACCATTCTGAGTTGTCCACGAAGATCCTTTTTCGTAAGATGATCGAGCATTCTAGCATCAACAAGGCACTCCATAAAAGTGGAACGATACTGCGGCAGTCCAAGGCTGGGTAACCAAACATTCCCTATCCATTCATGATTCATATCACCAAATGCTAATGTTGTACGGGACGTTTTCGGCGCTGACGGGCTAGTGAGCGATACCATTTCTTGAATAGCTAGTCTCAGCTTTAGACGGTGCAGGGGATTACTGTTACAAATATATGTATACAATGCTACAGTTATACATTAATTTCGTTACACAATTTCAAATACACAGGATGTCTCTTTTCAATAAAATCACCTATTACGTACAATTCATGAAGTGTAAAATTCATGAAAAAATTATCTACATGCAACATCACATAAATTGAAGAACATAAAAAGATGCTATCAATTTTTCAAAAGTTATTTAGAATCCATTTCACAGTCAAATTTGCTTTTTTAATTGAGCTATATATTTTCTATATAAGAATTGTAACCTCCACATTAAGAATTATACATACCCAGACAGCACAAAATATTTATAATATATATACAA